AGCCAAACCCGTCCAGGTCCCCCTCGCCCCCCCAGATTTGCCCAGTTCCCCCCTCATCCCCTCCTGAACTGGTCCAGTTCCCTCCCACCGCCCCCCAGGCCGGCCCAGTTCCCCTCGTACCCCTGAACTGGCCCAGTTCCCCTTCACCCTTCCTGATATGGTCCAGTTCCCCTTCACCCCCCAACCAGCCCAGACACCCTTCCTGCCCCCAACCCCCCCTTACCTCCCCATCACCCCTCTCCAATCCATCCCAGTCCCCATTCACCCCCCACACCACAGGGGCCGGACTCACGCTCGGCAAAGCCACTGTCACCGCTTTATTCCCCCACCGACCGCCGCAGCCCTTCGGCCACTGCCGCCACGTACGGCTCCGGCCACCGGCCCCGCTGCCGACCCGGTCCCGCCAACGCCCGCAGGAAGCCCCCCGTCTCACTGGGCAGTGCGAAGGCAGGGGCTGCCCGCAGTGCCGGTGGCACCGCCGGCACCAAGGCCTCTAGCCGGACCACGACATAGTGACCATTGCCCGCCGCCAGCTCCGGCACGGTGCAGGACAGAGCTGCCGCGAATGCCTCGCAGGGTGCTACAGTGGGGACATCATCAGGGCTGGGGACGTGCTGGGGGCCGGGGCCACATTCAGCAGCCCCGGCCCCCGGTACAGCCCTGGCCCTGGCGTCCCACTGGTGTGCAGCAGCCACAGCCGCCGGGGAGAGGAAGAGGATGATGGTGTCACCGTCACGCAGCGCTTGCCGGTGCTGGGCGTGCAGCCAGGGCAGTGGCCCCCATGCTGCTATCCCGCTGCCACCGCCCGGTGCTGCCGTCACTGCCAGCCCCAGCGGGCGCAGGGCTGCCATCAAGGCGCACGCTGCCCGCTCTGCCACCGGCTCCATCGCGTGCACCAGCAGTGCCCGCCGACCTCGCAGCGGGCCTGGGGGGTATTGTCAGTGCCTGAAGCCCCCCTGGGCTCCCTGTACCCACCCTATGGGGCAGCCAGGGTGGGAGGCAGGCTGGGACCACCCACCATGGAGGATCCCAACCCCTGGCTCTGTCCCCGAACCACTGCAGCACCTCCCATACCTGAGCTGAGGGACAGCTACGGTGGGAAGCAGGCTGAGACCACCGCCGATGTGTGACCCACCCCCTGCTCAGTCCCCCAATCCCTTTACCCACCCTAAGGGACACCCACAATAGGAGGCAGGTTGGGACCCCCCCTCAATAGGGTTCCCACCCTCTGCTCTGTCCCCCTACACCCCTACCGACCCTATGGGGCAGCCATGGTGGGGACCCCCCTGCCCTGTCCCCCCATCCCTGCCCCACACTGTCCCAGACCCCAGGCTTGCCCCACACTCACCCTCAGAACCGTAGTCAGCCCTCAGGGACTTCAACCAGCCTGTGGGGAGGACAGGCAGTAAGGCAGGGTCCCCGGGGGGGTTCCCAGGCTGGGGACAGCCCCCAGGCAGGCACCGCTCACCTTTCATGTCCTCCTTCTTCAGCAGGAGCAGGAGCAGGAGGCAGGCAGCCCCCACCAGCACCCCCATCCACGCCAGCACCCAGCGGGCACGCAGGTCTGCAGAGCAGGGATCAGCGTCCACCAAGGGCCCCCGGTACCCACCGAGGGTCCCCAGTGGCTCCACAGGGTAGGGGCCCTCCCTCAGCCCCACACCGGCCCCGCTCTGCCCCGGTGCGGCCAGGGATACTCACACTTGTGCAAAGGACAGGCCCAGAGCGTGACCCCGGTGTTGTTCTCAGCGTGCCAGATCTGTGGACATGGGGACATGTCACACGCTGCCTGGTCCTTGCCCACTGCCCGCCAGCTGCCCGCACTGACCTGCCTGCACTGCCCCGCCGCCACGTCCCGCCGCAGCTCCTGCTCCAGCAGCCCAGGGCGCCCCACTCCCTGCAATGGCGGCAGGGGGTGAGCCAGTTGTGCCGCTGGTGCCGCCGGGACACAGGGGTCCCTGTCCCTTACCGTGCTGGTGAAGTTGGTGAGGGGTGTGCAGGTGCTCCGCTCCAGGGCGCACAGCGAGGCGTTCCCCTCATGTTCCAGCAGCAGGAGGTCATCGGGGCGGCCAGGCAGCGCTCCTGGGGATGTGCCAGGGGGCTAGGGGGAGGCGGCAAGGGGAGGGCGGGGAGGGCTCACCCCCCACCCAGACCCCTGGGCTGCCCCTGCCCTCCCACCCCAGCAATACTCACGGTCCCGCAAGCACTGGGTCAGCCGGACCTGCCCGTCGCTCCACACCTGCCCCAGAGACCGGATCAGCAGTGCCTGGGGCTGCCCATGGGGCAGCTGTAGGGCAGCCGTGGGACAGAGGGGTGTCCTACCTGCACACAGAGGTTAGGGTGTGGCCGCAGCCCCCCAAACTCCTGGAGTCCCTGTGGGCAGAAGGGATGCTCCGTTAGTGCCACCCGCACCCCCCCTGCATGTCCCCGACGCCCCACAGAGCCCCACTCACCTGCCCCACGGCGGGCTGCCGCAGGCCGGGCAGGGCTTGGCAGAGCCCAGCGGGTGCCGGCTGCCAGCAGGGCACCAGCTCAGCCGGGAGGTCGCAGGGAGCCGAGAGGGAGCAGGTCAGCGCCTGCCCCCCAGCATGCAGGATCAGCCGGCTGCGCGCCCACAGCCGCTCCCAGGCCTCAGCGTCTGCAGCGGCACCGGGAGAGGGGTGTCACCCTGCGCGGTGTCCCCTCGGGGCCCCCGTGGGCCCGCCCCCCCCCCCCCAGCCCTGTGGGTACCGTGGGAAAAGGGGCACAGGGTGGCCCGCAGCGGGTCCTGGGTCTCTGGCCAGACCTAGGTGGGAGAAAGAGAGAAGGAAAAGAAGGATTTGGGGTATCCATGTTGTGACTGTGACCCAGCTAGCCCCCTTGGGATGCCCCCATGGTGCCTGGGCCGGGCACCCACCTGCAGGCAGAGGCAGGGCAGCACCTCATCGGCTGGCAGACTGTAGTTCATGGGGCTGCTCTGCCACCGGCAACCAGACGTGGGTCACACGGTGGCAAATTGCCCCCCACTGGTGTCACCCAGCCCAGGGGGATCCACTCCCAGGGGACCCTCTCCCAGCACCCTGCCTGTAACACAGACATGGCTTCCCGGGGACGGGGCAGCGGCCGGAGCCCGGCAAGGGTGGGGGGGTCAGGGAAGGGGTTCACACTCACCGCGGTCACTGCGCGCCCCGGCCCGCTGGCACCGTGGCTCTGGTTGTGGTAGAGCCGGAGGGTGTAGCTGTGCCCCGCCATGGCCCCCTGCACCTCCACGACCACCTCCTTCGGCCCCGGGGAGACCTGCAGCCTGGGCACTGCACCGGAGGCAGCTCAGGGCACCCGGCACCCAGCACCACCCACTCAGCACCACAGCACAGGGCACAGCACCCCAGGGGTCACCCTCTCTCCCGGCATTCACCACCCAGCTCTCCCCAGGGGACATACACCAAGGTGGGGGGGTCCCGGCGCTGCCGCAGCTGGGGGATGCCAGCACCTACCTTGGCACTGGAGGATGGCAGCCTGTGCCGCGGGCCATGAGCAGTCTGTGGGAACAGGAGGTCAGCGAGCAGGAGGGAGGGGGCCACAACGGCGGGGCATGCCGGGGGCTCACCTGGCACCCACTGCCACTGGCTCAGCCTCCAGTGGTCACGCGAGTTAGTGTATGCTGTGACGTGGAGCTTGGAGCCCAGCGGCGCCTCGAAGCACCGGAAGGTCACCCAGCCCTGTGCAGGAAAACCACCACCGCGCTGTGGCGAGGTACCGGCACCACCAGCACCCATCTCCCTGGGGCACGGGCAACAGGACCACCGCACCACAGAGATGCGCTGGTGCCAGCACCCACATCCCCACACGCTGCAGTGCCCGTGGACTGCCGGTGCTGGGGACACCCATTCCCGGCACCCCGCCTCTACGTACCAGGGGTTGGCCAGGCAGCGCAGGGGCCAGGGGTGCCTGGACCTCCACGGCCACGCAGCGGGAGGAGGCGTATGTGTGCCCGGAGAGCAGCAGTAGCCCGGTGACGTTGGGCTGGGACGAGGCAGTCCCATCCACCGCTGGCCACCGTCCCCCCTTACCGCCATCCTCCGCCTCGGGGATGCCCGATGGCGCAGGGCGGCGGGGGTCTCCGGTGCCGGTGGTCAGGTGCAGCCGTGCCTCCAGGCAGGGTGAGCAGGCCGTGGGCCCGGTGCAGCGCAGCACCGGCTCCAGCTGCAGCTGATCCAGGGCCAGCCCATGGCCGGGCCCCGGCGGCTCCGTCCCGCACAGCACGTCAGTGTCTGCGGGGGGGGGACG